CTCTCAGCTCGGGCTCCGTGCCTCCACTTCTCACACCCACTTTCATTTTTACCTAACACTTGCCCTTTTGGTCCTCTGCCCTAAGACCCCTAGATCTTTATTTTGTGCTTTCTGATCCATTAATCTTAAGTTCCCTACTGAACTTTCTATCCCATAAGTCACTTATCTCTCTGGAGAATATTAGCCCAAATCTTACAGTTGAGCCCTGAATGTCATGGGTTTGAACTGCACAGGTTCTATTTATGCAGAATTTTTTTTCAAACGCATAAAAAACACAGTATTCATGGAATGCAAAACATGCATATACAAAGGCCCAACTTTCTCATACACAGGGATTCCACAGAAATGACTTTGGGGTCTTACGAATGTGTGGATATTGGTATGTGCGGGACAGGGTTGGGGGGGTACTGGAACCCATCCCCCACGTATACAAGAGACAACTGTGTATTATTTGACCTAAGATAATGACTTTCTAATACAGATTGCTGGAAGTTTCTTTCATTAATAGTGCCATATCTGAATGATGGATCACAGATTTTGAAAACAGCCCTACTGTATTTCTACTCACCCATGCAATAAGCCAGAACCAACTGGTGTGATAAATGCAGTTCACCTCTGAAGGGCTTCTTTCCCCAGCAGGAAGTTAGGCTTTCCTCTTGGGTGCTACTATAGTATCCTGCCAAGACATCATAATGTACTGCTGTTACTTGTTTTCATGTTTATTTCCTTTCAGACTGAGTTCTTATCTTTTACAGATTCAGTGCACAGTACTAAGACTAAATATGGATTATAATAGGACCTTCCTTTTGGGGTTCTTAGGAAAATTAAATTAAGTGCATGTAAAACATTCGCAGTGTTGTAGATGTCCAATAAACATTAGCTACTATTGTTACTAGTATTAATAAAACTTGTGCCCTTACACCCAGGTTTCTGTCTTGGCTATCTCTGTGGATGGTGTGTCATGCAGAGACAGGGAATATAGGAGATGAAATTTAGAGATTGGATCAAAATATTGAGTTCATTTCTGGATGCTGGCTTCGGTGCTTGTGAAGACATCTGGCCACGAAGCTGGTATTGCCTTTGACTTCAAAAAAACATACACACCTAGCAGGGACTGAATACATGTTGACTAAATGAAAAAATGCTCATTCAATAAATCATTAATTCATCCAAGTTCTTGGCCCTGACTTAATCTGTTTAAATAATTTTAAAGGAAGGGAATAAAAGCAAACAATGTTTACTTTAAAATGTATGCACCATTAGCACTATTAGGAAAGTCACAACATCCCAAAACTGGAAAACACTGATCCACGCTTCAAAATCCCTGTCATTCCAATTAAGTACTGATTTGGCATTTTCTAATATGGGACTTTCAGACTGTATGAATTACCGATGTTCACTGAGTAGCAATCAATTTTGAATGCATTGCTCAAATATTCAAGCTGACCATTAACGTTCCCTAAGAAGAAGATGTCTTGATTTCCTAACTCTTCTTGCCCATGATAATCCTTCAGTCTTTTCCCTTCATTTTCTCTAAAAATACGATGATGAATGGGGATTATAAAAGAACAGATTGCACAGTAACCTGCTTTCTCTGGGTCCATCAAAGAGAAGGGTCATAACAGTGACCGAGTGGCTAGACTTAACAAGGCATTTGATCTAACTTTTCTTACCCGAAGGGCCACTATACATCATTTGTATTTACTTGTGTTTATCTCCTTAAGTAACCCTTTCATGTTGCCACCATCCTTATTTTCTTCCCCAGGATTCTACCCTAACAACTTTAGTCCTTAAAACATATCTGTGCATTTTATTCCATAAGATTTTTTCTAGTAAAGTTGCAATTCCAAATGATCAATATCATGCTCCCATTTCTAGATGAGCAAAAAACTTGAATTATATAGAAAACAACTCAATTCTTTAACCAGTCAGGTTCTGTTTTGTCAAAGTCACTGAGACATCACTATGGAAACCACAGGTCGTAGCAGTAGGTAGTGCCAGTGACTCAGCAGGTGGAACAACTTCAAGGCACTACCACCAAATGCCCTGACAAGATGCCAAGCAAACACCATGCTACAGTCCATTCATTATTTTTTAGGTGACATATAAACTGCACTAAGGTACACTCCGATTTTAGATGAGCCAAAACATGAGCAGGAAAAGCAGAAAAAGAGAAAGATCAGAGTGAAGTGGTCAAAGGGAAAGGTTAAAAAAAAAAGTAAGGTGAACTTCTATCCAACTTTGTATATCACTTGAAAACTGGCCTGAGTAACCAGAATTGCTTATTCAAGGGAAGGCTGTAAGAGGAGGATGCTCTTTCCTGTTAGGCTACTTCTCAGTGCCTATAAAGGTAACATATTGCTGCTTAATGAAACTGCTTTCCTACCTGGAATTATTTCCCCTTAATTAATTATAAGCTGCTCAAAATTGCAGTGGAAGACAGAGGATAAGTATTTGTTGTGGTCCTTCAGGGAAAAGGGCTACTGATCACATGACCAACTTCCACCTTGCAAGAGATGTGCATGGAACCATGGAGGAGTTCCTCCCAAAACCTGTAAGAAGAGACAAATCTGTAAGGTGCAAAAAGGCCGACCTTGGCAGCTCTAGAAATGTGCTGCTCAGAATTTCTTCACTATAGGAAGCCCAGTTGACTGGCAGTCCTAGCTGCCACCCCCTGAATGCACTACTGCATTCACTACAAGACCCCAGGGCTCCCTGTCACTGATGGCACAGTGACAATATGAGTGCTGGCCCACTCCTGCACAACATGAACTCCTTTGGCTGGCAACTTTGGCTCGAGGACTCCCCATCAGCTCGGCCCAACCTTTTGAAGGACTGCACCAACAGTCTGAGATTCTTCCTACCCAATCCTCCTTCCTTCCCTCTCTTACCACTGGTGTTAGGTTTACGGAAGTCTGAAGACTCTTCCTGCCTATCCTACTCCCTCCTCGTTATCCTACACAACTGAGTCCCTCCAATAAATCTCTTGCATGTCTAATCCCATCTAGTCATCTGCTTCCTGAAGGACTCAAACTGACAGCTCACACTTATGGATCAGTATTTGCAGATTTTCTTTGAAACTACACCCAATACAGCAATACAGGTGCACAAGAGAACTTGGTTCACCCTACAAATCAAGTAATTTGAGTCCTACAATAGATCATCAGGCTGAGTGGTGGCTCACACCTATAATCCCAGCATTTTGGGGAGGCCGAGGTGGGTGGATCACCTGAGGTCAGGAGTGTGAGACCAGCCTAGCCAACATGGTGAAACCCAGTCTCTACTAAAAATACAAATATTAGCTGGGCATGGTGGCAGGTGCCTGTAATCCCAGCTACTTGAGAGGCTGAGGCAGGAGAATTGCTTGAACCTGGGAGGAGGAGGTTGCAGTGAGTCGAGATTGTGCCAGTGTGCTCTAGCCTGGGCAACAAGCGCAAAATTTAGTTTCAAAAAAAACCCAAAAACAGATCATCAGAATTAAAAGCTATGGCTGATCCCTTACCAGCCTTAAGAAAAAATATATTTCAGATATCTAAGAAAGCATTATAAAAATAGAAAAAAGATACAGCTTAAGAAATAAAATGTTACCAAAAGAGTTGAAATCTCCTGTGTACTGAACCCTGATTGCATCCTCCTCCCACTCTTCAGATTTTGATCTTTATCATTCCCGTGCACACTTTACATTTTTCCTATGACAGATACAGTCAGCACTACGTATCTGTGGGTTCCTCACCCAGACTCAACCAACTGTGGCTCAAAAGCATTTGGAAAAAAGAAATTGCATCTGTACTGAACATGTACATTTTTTTCCTCATCATTATTCCCTAAACAATATAGTATAACTACTTTATTTAGCATTTACATTGTATTAGGTATTATAAGTAATCTAGAGATAATTTTAAGTATTTGGGAGGATATGCAGAGGTTACATGCATATACTATGCCATTTAATACCAAGGAGTTGGGTATTCTTGTGATTTTGGCATCCATGGTAGGTCTTAAAATCATTCTCCCACAGATACAGAGTGATGACCATATTCTTAAACAACACATTTTTTTCTTTGGATTTTAAAATATCTTCTTAAAATTTCCTAAAATTTGGGTTTATATATATTTATAATAAAGTTAACTCAGTTGATGATTTAAAAAAAAAAAAAACCCTATGTCACATAAAGCTATTTAGGATTTAGTGAGATTGAAAATTATTTATCAAAAATGGGCCAAAGTTTCAATGCTGAAAGGAAGTTTTATTATTTTAACTTGACCCAAATTATAATATTATTTATAAACGTTATATAAATGCAGGTTGATCATTCTGAAAGAGTCAAAAAGCCAAATGTAAGTAAAGTACTAGACATAAATGCAGTTATAAAAAGTTGACATCATTCTTCTAAATGTCATGTAGAATCATAGGAAACAATATCATTGCAATCATTATTCAAAGTAACATTAAAGATAACAGAGTTTTTTTTGTTTTAGATGGAGTCTCACTTTGTCACCAAGGCTGGAGTACAGTAGCGTGATCTTGGCTCACCGTGACTTCTGCCTCCTGAGTTTAAGCGATTCTCCTGCCTCAGCCTCCTGAGTAGCTGGGATTATAGGCACAGGCCACCACATCCAGCTAATTTTTGTATTTTTGGTAGAGATGGGGTTTTACCATGTTGATCAGGCTGTCTCAAACTCCTGACTTGGTGACTCGCACACCTCAGCTTCCCAAAGTACTGGGATTACAGGTGTGAGCCACTGCACCCAGCCAAGATGTTTGATTTTAAATGTCAATTTGAATGTACAGTGTCTACGATAATAGATCAGAGAGAAAGTAAGAATATCTGTAATTAAAACAGGAAAAAATGAGTTAGTTACAAATACTGTATTCTTCAATGAAAGAAGGACGCAGATTAAGGATAAAACAGGAGTCTTATCAATGAGGCCACCTTTAAGGATCATTTTTCAGGGTAGCTAAAAGAAGCAATAATAAAGCTTTACACATATAACTAAAATGTTCACAATTAATCTAGTCCCAATACTTTTATTTGCAGAGTTCTCAAATCAAAAGTAAAAAATAATTATACATCAGGATTGTTAGGAATACCAATTATTTTACAACTGCCACTATGTGTTTCTTCTTCTCTGACACAACTGGCACAGATCCAGGCTTGCTGTGTTTAATACGATTCACTTCCCTAGAAATAAACAAAATATACAAAATATAAGCAAGTTTATGAGAACTCATTTTAAAGAAAACTTTCTCAGAAAAATCAAAGCATTTTCCTTCACTGGAAAAACACCTATTAAAAAAAATATTTTTTCACAATGAGAATAGGTAAAAGGGAGCAAGTACCAATAAATCAACTTTACTTATTTAATTGCTTCTTATCCTATTTACCTAACAGGATCCTTTACTAAGTTTAAAAAAAAAAAAAAAAAAAAAAACCTGCCACAGTTACTAAAATTTTCTAAAAGTGATTCTACTGAAACATCTACTCAAAGATAGAAAAATGACAGCCATTTGCATAGTCTAATTGAAAAAAAAACTCTTAGAATTTCAATGCATGACTTCAAGTATTTCAAAGAGAAGAATATTTCACAGGGGAAATGGTGAAATAGCTCTGCTATTGGTGGCAGTAGTTCTGCTCTATACCCAAAATGACAGATGTCACGTTATTAATAAAGCACATTAGAAAACTTTTTACTTAAGAAAAGAGCCCTATAGATTAATTCTTTGCATTCTTTAACTTGGAAAATACCCAAACTCTCTTAATTCCAACTACATCAGAAATTATTTTTTAAAACATTATTTACAATAGTTTTCTAATATAAGCAAAAGTGTTCTCTTATTTCGGTAATTCATCTTCATTGTTTGTCCTTTAAACATATTCTTAAAAACAGGTAATGGAAATTCTCCATTCTCAGATAGTCACTGCTTCCCCCTTTATTGGGAAAAGAAAAAAAAAAAGGCCTTCTGTAGAAGTCTTCAAATACATCACTCATGTACAATAATAGCATGTAGACTACTCCCTTGAATGGTAGTTGTTTGTTGGTGGTGAGATAAGAGAAGAAGTCAGAAAAGGGTAATGAGATAGAGGCAAATGCCTCAAAACATACTTCCGTCGACGAGCTTCTTTCATGATGCGCTGTTCCTGAATTTGGCTGTAGATAGATTTTGGTAGATGTCGATGACGAGCTATACGTTTTATATGAGGATGATGCTGAAATTTTTCCTTCAATTTCTGGTTATAATCCTTGGCTGCTTTTTCTCGCGATGTAAGCTGAAAATACACATTTGGGTATCTTGATGAATAGTGTGTTCTTTGTTTTGCTTCCGTATAACAAAGCTAGAAAGCACCCTTTTCCCCCGAACCTAAACTTTTATGATATGCAACCAAAACTTCCAATGTATTTCTGCACTTTAAGGCAACACACCTGCCATGTAGATAGATGCCACCTAGTAGAAAGCAGCAGTGCTAAAGGAGTAGGGCTCTAAGGACCACTGAGTTGCATCTTCCCTAAATCACTCGCTCAAATTTTGGGGGTAGGTAGGGAGGTGTGTTAAACATAGTGAAACATAAAAGAAAAACTAAGTATCTAATTTCATAAAAACTAGCCTTTGTTTAACAAATGTTAAGGATGATACAATTTAGAGGAACATTTAACGATGGACCTAGGCACAATGCAATATTTACCAATGATTAAACCTAAAACAAAATTGTCTTTGATTTTCCTACCAGGGCTAAGTAGAAAATAATTCACACTCATGCTTTCCTTCTTACACTTAATATTTATTTCTGATATAAACACTCTGTATGTTTCTTACAGAAAATACGGGACATTTAGAAAAACATCAAGAACAAAACAAAATCAACCATAATCCCATATCCTAGAGGTAACCAGCCAATAACAACTGCTTTTTTTTTCATGAAATCTTTTTTAAAGTCTAGGCTTTCTGTACTTATTAAATATGTTCCATTTTGTCTGTGATATTAAAAGATCTCACAGGAACTTGCAGCCTTTGAGTTGCTGGATGACTATTTCTCTAACAAAAGAGATACAAGCTCTAAGTTCCAGGCTTCTAGTTCCTGCATCTTCTGTCCCTACCTCAAAGAAAACACAAAGAACCAAAAAGACTCAACATTCTCAAACATCTGAATTAACAAAGGTATTCTGAAGGTCTTAAATGTCAATTTGAATGTACAGTGTCTACAATAATAGACTAGATTGAAACAAACAATTATCAATACAACTTTGTCAGTTTATTGCTAACTTATTTTTTTATCACAGCTATGGCAATTTGATCAAAATATCTAAAAGTACTTCAAATAAAGTTTCGCAATGTAAAAGTTTCTAACAAAATTAGAAATCAGCTTTATGACAATAAAAGAAAATGAGTCATCTTACCACACCCAATTTTTCAGAAGCATTAGCTTTCCATAGGCGAATGTTCATTTCATCAGATCCACACATAATATACTTGCTATCAGAAGTCCATTTTACACAGATAACATGTTGCATTCGCTTTGTGTGATACACCTCCCTATAGAAAAGGAATTAAGTTAAAACCCTTTGGATTTTTGTACAGATATTCTTTGAGTAATCACTGCCTATTAAGTATCAGGATATCATTTCCAAGTCCTATAGGAGTATAAAATAAAAATTCCAATTCTTGTCAATGTATTTTTATTGAACTCAACAAACAAGGTTCTGTGTTAAGTGCTGGGGTATTAAACAAGTTTCTGCTCTCAGAGAACTTATTATCTAGTAAGAGAAATAAATATGAACAAACTAAGCAAAACCAGATGTACAGAAAAGTTCACAGAATAACTGAAAGTATAAAATGCAAATAAAATATGATGTTCAACTGAGGTAATTTTGTAACAATAAGAAAGGACTTCTCTTAAAAGGCCCCTTCTCCCTACCAAATCAATTCAGGTCAAAACACTTTTTTCCCCCTCATTTTGCTGAAAAGAAAGAAATGCAGTGATCTTCAAAGAGTATCTCCTGATAAGTTGATTCTAATGTCAGATTTTTGTTTTGGTTAAATTGTTTAAAAACTTACTTAATTACAGCAGCCTGGCCAACATGGTGAAACCTCATCTCTACTAAAAATACAAAAATTCGCTGGGCATGGTAGTGCACGCCTATAATCCCAGCTACTCTGGAGGCTGAGGCAGGAGATTCACCTGAACCTGGGAGGCAGAAGTTGTAGTGAGCCGTGATCGCGCTACTGCACTCCAGCCTGCAGCCTGCACGACAGAGTGAGACTCAGTCTCAAATAAAAAAAAAAAAAAAGCTTAAAGTGAGTTGATGATTTACATGTGTGAAAAGAAAGGGAGGGCTACAGAAGTGTCTGATAAGTTGAGGCAAGAATCATTTAATAAATGGAGATGTAAAATATCATACCTATTTGGAAAGGCTGTGAAGCATGCTAGGTGAATTCACAGGTGATACTATATTGGTAAGTGTTAAGGAGGGCATTAAAAAGCAAGTAAAATACAAGGTCAGAAAAAATAAGATGAAACTTCTGAAGAAATAAATTTTCTGAATCTGGATTATATTATTCAAAATGCAGACCACAGAAAGAGAAAGGAAACAGGCTCAGTAAACTGTGCACAGTAAAAGAAAACTCAAACAGAATAACTAAACCAACTATAATTCATATCTGTAAACAATCTCTCAAGTAGGCAAGGTGCAGTAGCTCACACCTGTAATCCCAGCTCTTTGGTGGGAGGATTACTTGAGCCCAGGAGTTTGAGACCAGCCTGAGTAACACAGGGAGACCCCATTGCTACTAATGACAAATTTTAAAAATTAGCTAGGTGTGGCGCTGCTCAGGAGGCTGAGGTAGGAGGATCACTTGAATCCAGGAGATAGGGGCTGCAGTGAGCCATTGCGGCATCACTGCACTCTAGCCTTGGTAACAGAGCGAGACTCCATCTCAAAAAAAAAACAACAGAACTCTCAAGTAAACTCACAAAACTAGTCTTTTACACTGTTTCTGATAGGTATGTTTTAAGCACTTTGATTAACCATAAGAAATTTATTTTTAAAAGTGGGGGATAGTTAAAAAGAAAGTCCTATTAAAATGAAAACTAGACGAGACAGACTGCTTTTTCTTCTCCCCCACAATGCTCTGCTTTTGAAGACTCATTTCTTCTAATTTCTACATACTTAAAAGGCCCTTTTTTTCCAGCAGTAAAATGTGTTTAAAGTAGGGAAATTCAATCAGGGTTCTGTAACCATTAAACATAATCTGTTCATGCAGTAGGCTAGTCAAATCCAATGGTTAGTCACTTAAGTAACTGAGAATCCTCCTTAATGGTAAACTATGCTGAGATCTTAACTGCTAAATATGTTTATGTCTGTATATATGCTAGGTTTATTGCGCTCACTCAAAGTTCTACTATTAAGAGATAAATACATTTTTAAAGGCTTAAACTCTTTATATACATAGTCACACTGATTTTTCCATGTGAACACTATTAATTTGTTTGCTTAGTAAATATTGAATGAAATTCCAACAGAAGCCTACTTTCAAACACTGACTTAACTGTAGTTTTAAAAACTTTACTCAAAATTTACTTTAAAAATACTATGCGTTAGCCATTTTAAGGCCTTTAAAGAAAAACATTTTTGAAATACAGGTTATTCACCCAAGCATGAGTTATTCGATGTTTATAATGATAGAGAACAAAACACAGAAACAAATTAGAACTAGCTTTCAAACAGATAAAGGCAAATATCAGACGGAACAGAAACACAATAGGATGTAATACATATTAAGACTGTGATTACAAAATCTTCAAATGACATCAGGATACAATTCCTTGGAAATGAAATATAAGAACGCTTTTACAGAATTTTTGAATAACATGAGCTTTCTAGCTAGACCTACATTTAGCTGTCCACACTAGCTTTGGAATAATACAGCCTGAACTCAGCTGGTGGGCCCTTGGGATCATAGGTACCTACACAGTCCCATTTTTTTCTTTGTTCTCTTCTCATTCTTTGTGTCTGCTATATACCATGTTAGAAAAATATTACGCTACTACCTTTGGAAGTTGTGGTGCCAAGAAATGATGGAGGACCACATTCTCTTGATTCTCAACATTTTCCAGAGGTGTGAGAAAAATGGAAGCTAACAGTCTTGCTTTGGGCCTAACTGAATAATCCCAGAAAACCATTTATGACAATTTGGAGAACATCAAGGCAGAAAAGAAGCAACAGTCACATAGGAACACATAGGAGGAGCTCTACAACAGAAATGATGAAATAAAGATCAAAGTCATCAGAACACTCCTGTCAACATGCTTCTAACTTAAGCACCTACATAATCAGATAAACAGTGATGATTACAATTATCTGCTGACAATCAATGATGATACATGGTTTAGAAATCAATATGGCTTCCCCAAATTACAATGGAAAAAGACAAATATCACAAGTAAAACAGTAAAGAGTTAGATAAGTAGATTGGCTATGACCATAATCCTCCAATTTTCATAATTTTTTGAGAAAAAATATTTCCATTTATTTGGATTTATTTTATGCATGCTTCCAGGAACACATCTAAAGCATTACTAAGAAACAATGGCAATATGTATAACAGGTCTTTGTAAACCATAATTCACTACACAGGGGGCTGTATCTTATACAGGACTTAAGTTTTAAAGTCAGTCTGTAAAGCAAAAAAATCGAGAACAAAATTCCCCTTGCAAACTCCTTAAAAATGCCATCATTTTCTGTAAACTACCTCTATACAAAAATATGTATTTAATAGATGCATAAATACTGTATTTAATAACATAATATGTAGTAAAGAGCCAAACTGTACAAAACAACACAATACAAATCTTAAACATTAGAATCATACTCAACGTGCTTACAGAATTAGACACACACACGAGACTATGGGACAGCTGCGTATTCAAATCTCCTACCTCTCGATCAACCAAGGCATACAACTACTAAAGTAAAACAGAAGGAGAACAGTCTTGACAATTTAAACTTACTTTTCTTTTTTAATTTTTGTTTTGTTACATAGAGTTGGATTTAAAGAAGTAAAAAATAACAAATGTAAGGTACTATTATTAATTTTTCTTAAACTGTATTGGGGCAAAAAACTTTATCTATTAAACTTCAGGTACCCTCTCAGAAAAGATAAATAATAATCAGGACAAAGAAAAATCAAACAAAAATAGTCATATGACATTTTGGTCAATGATAGACTTCATATACAACATTGGTCCATTAAGATTACAATAATGGATTTTTATTGTACTTTTCCTATGTTTAGATATGTTTACATAAACAAATAACACTGTGTTACAATTGCTCACAGTATTCAGCACAATAACATGCTGAACAGATTTGTAGTCCAGGAGCAACAGGCTACAACATATGACCACATACGCTAAGTGCGCAGCAAGTTATACCATCTAGTTTTAAGTGTACTCTATGATGTTCACACAATGATGCAATAGCCTAACAACTCATTTCTCAGAATGTATCCCCATTGTTAAGTGACATATAAATATAAATGGCTTACTGGTAGGCACATACCTGCTTCGACTTTTGTCTACAGGAAAGATTCGAATAGATTTATCAAAACTAGCAGACACAAACTCTTTCCCAGTGGGAGAGTAATCCACATCAAGGACTGCTGATACATGATCCATATGGACCATTACAGGAGTGTCCAGTGCACGCATATCAAAAGTATATAAACTGTAAAAGAATTTTAAATATTTGACACACATTTCTAGAAAGATGCCACATACAGTGCTAAAAGATACCAGTCAAAATAAGACCCATTAGCAAAACAATGCAATCTAAACAAAAAGCTCAATGCCGTACACAAGCAGGTGACGGATAAGGAAAAATTTCAACAGTTTTTTATGATTCCTTAAGACTCCACTTACATATACACCAACACATTTTCCTCCTTATAAATCTCATTGTAGAAAATGTGAAAATTTCAAAAAAGTACAGAGTACAAAAATTAGCCTTAATTCTACTACCCAGAGGCCAATTATTTAGTGCAGCATAATTTTTAAAAAACCTTTTCATCATACTATTTAAATACATATTTTTAATAAAACTGAAATAATACTATATAAAGCTTTATATTCTGATACTTCATTTAGCATATTAATGAGCATTACCCATGTTATTAAACAATCTTTGAAAAGATTTTAATGGCTACATATATAAATTCAAATAATTTATTTCCCTATATTTTAATAGTTTCCAATATTTTTTTATAAATAATGCTTAATAAAATCCCAATGTTTGGATTTTTGGCATTCAATCTTTAACTGAATGAGGCAGATTCAATTAAATCTGGACAGATTCCTACAAGTAAGACTGTTAAGTCTAAAGGCATGAGCATTTTTAAGGCTTGATTTGAGTTGCCAAACCACTGCCAACACAGCTGCTCTAATTTATACTCCTATTGGTGATATGTAAGAGTAAACACGGCCTTTCAAAGGGTCTATCAAAATGAGAAGACTATATTTTATGCACAATTGGTAAAAACAGTGACTTTATGAGTTTCAAGATTCAACAATTCTTAATCTAACAGCTAAAAGAATAGTGCTTAAAATGAGCCCACATGAACAATGGACAAGAGTAAATATAGCATTATTGTGACCAAGTTCGTAATGTAAAAACCTTGAAGATGCTAAGATTAGTGAGTGGAAGTTTGAGAAGAGGGTATCTACATAGTTTCAAAGTATCTCAGCAAAGATATATAACAATTACAAAAGGAAAAAGTAGTAATCTTTAGTGGAAAAACCTGGCAGACACCACCCCAACCAAATGATCAAGGTTAACGTTACCAGTAGTAAGATGTATTGACCACTGCTTTACAGCTCCTGCCTAAAAGCAATGGTTTTCAACCACCATTGTTTTGTTCCAGCAAAGTGTTTTTTAGTAAGTTGCTTTATTTCTCCATGGGAAAAATGATAAGAATTCCAATTCTAAGCATGTAAATTTGTTTAGATGGAAAATATTTAAATAAACAAAGTTCCACATTATAGGATTAATTAGGGATCATGTATTCTAACCCTCCTACAGATGTTGAAACTATGGTACAGAGTTATTTTAAATGATAAGTTTATACAGTAATTACTGGTCGGCCTAGAGTTGAACTTAGGTTTCTAATTCAGAATGATTAGAATAGCTAAAAGGCAATAAAAGAAAAACATACAAATATAGAAAAGGGATACAAAAGCAAGATCATTTTCAAGAAAGAGCAACTGCTCTACTCTAACAGTCACTTATAAGGGATATGCTCTTTATTTCAGGTGGCACATGTAATTCTTTACAAGGCAAGAAATGACAAATTCCAAGATACTCTGAAAAAAGATATCTTGCTAAAATAGCTTATTAGAACATTCTTTTAAAACCCTAATAAGGTTGGTCACAATAATGCTGTATTACTCTTGTCTTTTATTGCCTTTAACTGGAACAATGTCGCTTAATTTCAAAACATCAATAAAGGTTAAAAAAAAAGTTTCAATTACTGTGGTTTGGTACTGCTAGTTGATGAGAGTCTAAGTGAGCTTCTATTTATTTATTTATGGACCAGGGTCTTGTTCTGTGGGCCAGGCTGGAGTGCAGTGGCCCAATCACAGCTCACTGAACCTCAAACTCCTGGACTGAACTTCTTTTTAGTAGAAAGTCATAAAAAATGTTTTTAGCTGGAACTACTAAAACATCCTAAAAGGAATCCTTTTATGAGCTAATACTGCTACATTTTTGCTTTCAAATCTATATAGCGGAACATAAAATACAGATCTGAAGTTCAATCCACCAACAAACTTCCACCTTCTTAAAAAAACATATATTAAGAACCTATCAAAGGCACAGCACTATAACAAATGCTTTGGATAAAAAAAGATAAGACACCCTTTCCTCATGGAGAGATTAATCTCCCTGCTTTAATATCTTGAAAAGGGGATAACAAATATGTCCTACCCACCTTATATCAATACTGAAAAGGTAACTATAATTTTTCTTTCGTCTTACTGAAAAGTGATAGCTGATAACATGACTACATGAGTATCAGCTACCTGATACTCACTGCAAACACAAACACTGCAGGCAGATATTTTCACTTCCATTAAAACATGTACGGTTCAGTCATTACCTATAGGATCTACAACAAAGATCAGCCAACTTCTTCTGTAAAGGGCCAAATAGTAAACATTTTCAGCCAAGTGGGCCATAAGGTCTCTGCCGCAACTCTTCAACTCAGGCATTACAGCACAAACGCAGTCATATCCAATATATAAGAATAAATGGGTATGGCCAGTTCAACGGAACTTTATAAAAACAGGTAACAGAAAGCATTTGGTCTACTAGTTGTTTACTGTCCCTGGTTTACATCATTCTAAATACTGAGAAAATAAATATTTTTCTAAGAAGTTCTTCTCCAATTTGGAACATTTTTTAAAGCTAAACAAATGATAGTTTTCAAACTTATATTTAAAGGTATAGCTACCTAGTGGTACATATTTTATTAGTACGACTTATTTGATTAAGCCATTTCTGATAGAAATACACAAGTTTTTAAAAGAGGGAAACTTACTTATAATCTTCATTTGCCGCTGTAAAAATGAAAGCTTCCATAGGGTTCCAACAAATTGTATTTGTTCTCATGTCTAATATAACCTGAGAAAGGAAGCATATGCTATCACATTACCATGAAATGAATTACCCCTAAAATGGATAAATTTCCCACTTCCTTTCCTTTTTTGTCCCCACTAATTTAAGAAAATATTTCATAAACACCTATTATGTGTATAGTACTCAGCTCAGTGCAATGGGAAGAGAAATCAATCAGTAATTGCTTCCTGAATACACAGGCAGAGTAGTAAATATAAAAACAGAAATGCTTAACTGCTGATCCCCTAATCTCAAACAACTTATAGTTTAGTCAGAAAAATGAGACAGATAATAAAAGTTAAAATATAAACAATAAAGTAACAAATGACTAAGTACCAAGATAGGGGCAAAATTAATGGTGAGCTTAGGGTTAATGTAGAGAAGAACTGTTTCAAAAGACAAGTATGATTTGAACTGATCTGTGAAGGATCAGTAATTTAGTGTTTCTTAATGGGAACACTATTGGCATTTTGAGGAAGATTATCTTTTGTTGTGGATATCTACTGCAGGATGTTTTGCCTCTCAGGGACCTCCCACCAAATGTCCCTCTTGCATTCCCAAAACTGTTCCTGCAACCCCCTACAAACCCTGATTGAGAACTACTACATCTATGAGAGAAAGGATAAAAGAAACGTTGATAGACTAGTAGACGGAGCAAAGAAACAACTAAAAGTAGCAGCGTCTAACAATCTTTACATGTGACAAACCCCAATTCAATGTTACCTTACTGACTACAAGAAATAAAAGAATTGCTAACTAGAACCAGATTTCAGAGCACCTTGAAAGTCAGGCTACAGTTTTTTTTAACCTAAAATTAATAGAGCACCATTAAAAACTGAGAATGTGCAAAGCTGGAGGCAATAATAATGAAAAATAAACTAAATTAAAAAAAAAAAAAACAGAATGAGAGGTAGGTGGGAGGGGGCATAAATGATCATTTATTAAAATACCTCATGTTAGCACTGCTAAATGCTTAAAGTATCCATGTTTTATTCTCACCAAAGGGCTGCGAGATAGTTATCAATACCACCATTTTACAGAAGAAACACAGATTAGGTTACCTGCTTAAAGTCTAAGACCGAAGTTCATATAGGATCTTCCTATTAAATCACAAGAATGAGTGAAATGACAAAAGTGGTACTTTGGAAAGATTAAAAGCATTTCTTTTGTATGTGGATTATGACAACAGATTTGTGGCATATGAATGATGTCCAACCCTTTCTGTCACTCAAAATTCTAGTACCTGAAATGAACTTTTTAACCTTGTACTTAGGATGGTACTCTTTTCCTTACTTACAGACAATATTTCTCTCCCTCTTGAGTTAGGTTAAGGTTGTATTATTAGCTTTGGTATCTAAGTCCTGAAATTACTACTTCAGAATTGTTAGGAAATCTGTTACTTTGATCAGGATAGTGCTTGCCTAAATGTCGAACTAGTATTGATCGGCATGTAACTGAACAAATAAGCTGATATGTGAATCAGTTCTAAAACGTCCTAGAATAAAATACTGTACATTTTATAGGATAATCATGGGGCTTGAAGTATTATTACACTGTTAAGTAATAAGATGTAATACCTTTAAGAACTTTCAATTCAGTAAGTATTAATTAGATGCCTAAAATACACTGGCATCATGGAAGACACAAGGATGATGACTAGGATACAATACCTAGTAGAAATTTAAGAGTCTCTAAAAAGCTACGGGGAGCTAAAAGAACATGACTATACTATCATCATGGAGGGTTCTAAGAACATCTGTACGAAAAAAAGGTTTTTAATTCTGAGAAAATATTTGCTCCATATTTTCAGTCACTCTATTTACAGAGGAATATAATGCCAACTGTATAAACCAAAAGTCAAAACTGAAACTCACCTTTTTCAAAGGAGTAGCTTGCCTCATATCATATAGTACTATATTCCTGTCAGACGCACAACTTCCCAAGAGAAATGTCTAAAAACAAGTATAACAATCACCAGTTAAGAGCCAGGCTTGGCAGCAAACCACATCCATTCAATGAACAAATGATTTAATTGCCCTTAATATATATGTTAAAAAATAAAGTCAATTTTAAGATGGTACAATAAATCATCCATAATCTCAGCAACTTAAACCAAGTATTTTCATTGTAAAATCTCCATGCATTTTATTTATTTATTTATTTATTTATTTAGAGGCATAGTCTTGCTCTGTTGCCCAGGCTGGAGTACAGTGGCACGATCTTGGCTCACTGCAACCTCCACCTCCCAGTTCACGTAATTCTCGTGCCTCAGCCTCTGGAGTAGCTGGGATTATAGGGGTGCACCACCATGCCCGGCTAACATTTTGTATTTTTAGTAAAGACATGTTTTCGCCATATTGCCCAGGCTAGTCTTGAATTCCTAACCTCGGGTGATCCACTCACCTCAGCCTCCCAAAATGCTAGGATTACAGGTATGAGCCACCTCGCCCAGTCCCCATGCATGTATTTTAGATGCCAGTGATAATGCACAGATAATACTGTGTTCTAATTTGCAATAAAATATATTTTACTTATCCATTCTTCAACTTAAGACTTGTTTCCTGTTTTTTTTACTATTATAAGTAATACTTCAATAAACATTTCCTAACATTTAGCTCTTCTTCTGAATTATTTCCTTAGGATAAAATTTCAAGAGTGACATTACTGAATCAAAAGGTATGAACAATTTTATGGCTTTTGATATTTAGGGCTAATTATTTTCCAAAAAGTTGTATCAGTATACACTACTATGTGGGAATACATCTATTTTAATGCAACTGGGCAGCACGGGGTAGTGTCATTTACAAGTTAATACCTGAATGACAGTATTTCCTAGCTATATAAATTTATTGTTTTATTAGTAGTTAAATATTTGTTAACTCTCTGTATAAATTAGGCCTGTCTTTTGCCCAACTGTTTAACAATTTTTCTAATTATTTTACTTGTAAATCAGTTATAAACGTGCAAGATATTTACATAACCCCTTGGCATTAAGTAAAAATAAGCCCTCTATCATCCAGTAGATCTCTGAACTCTTCTCTTTGTATCATCATTCCTCCTCACTCATGGTCCTGACACTCAAAATTCTTAGCATCTGCCTACAATTATTTCCTATGGCAAGTATGGGGGCAGCAAGAAGAGCTATTTACTAAATAGTTACATGGCCAGCTAACTCCTCCTACTGTGTGTACACAGTTCAAATAACACATCATAAAGCTAATGTTACAATCATAATTTCCTCAGTCCTTTCTGAAAGCCTGCTGTCTTAATGGCTGCATTTCTGAGACTTCCCCTAGTGAGGTCCCTCAGCTTTTCTTGGATTCTCATTATGTCACCTTAGGGTCTGACCAGGTTCCATTTCTCAAAAGAAAGACTTTGATGTGAACAAAGCAAAACAATCTATCTTGACTGAATGTCAACTTTCACACTGTAAAATGTGCCAATGATCAGCATAAACTTTTGGCTTTACCAGAATTCTAGGCTTTAATATTTTAAGAGAAAATTAATTATTAATGATTAGAGGAGACAAAAACAAATACACTCCATTTGTTCACAGCAACATGCCCTTTCCATTAAGTATAACATAAGATAAGAGACATGTACACCATTTACTTTTACCACTAAGTTCATAAGGTTAATAATAATTTTTTTAAAACACAGCTGAACAAATACAGCTGTTACACAGGCAAGTTTGAAAAACAGGGTCACTAGATCATCCCTAATAATTATGATTTTAGAATTGGCAATTAACTCTTCTGACACAGATGTTGACCAAAGTAGAAAAGCAAAAGATTTTTTTGTTCCTCCTCTAAATAGTAAGAACCAAGTTTAATAAGTAATACCATCACCATCTTAAATTCAATAACACTTTTAAAAAATGTTCACTTGTTATCAACTTTTACACTCAAAACAAACCTATGAAGTACACTGGGAGATATAATCAATCTCACTTTATAAAGAAATAAAGAAAATATCCACTTGTAAAACAATGAAAAGCCACGTTTGCAGGAAACAGTTTGGCTTCACTTCACACCAGTTAGGACATAAAATATTCCTACAACTTGCTTATGTTTGTAGCTTGCTTCTGTTCAGTGTCACCTTGGCCCTGCTCTGCAAAGGCAGCTGCCTTTCCATGCCATCTCTCTTCTACAACCAAGGAGAACATAAGGAAGAAAATCGAGGATAGAGTGAGAAAGATAACAGAGACAGATACCAGACCTGGGATCAGAAAAGTTTCTGTAAAGGGCCACAGAGTAAGTATTTTAGGCTTTGTGGGCCACATAGTTTCTGTGGCAATTACTCAATTCTGCCATCATAGCACAAACGCAGCAACAGACAATATGTAAGCAAGAGAAGACAGCTCTCTTCTAGTAGAGCTTTATTTAAAAAAACAGGCAGTGGGCCACATGTGGCTCACAAATTGTAGTTTGCCAATCTGTTCTAGACCTGTGGCCTCTCTAGAAGGTGTGTGTGTAGGCATGTGGTAGCTGCAGTAAGAGAGTCCTCTGACTTCTCAGCAATACCTCAAGGCCAAGCTCACATGGCACTGCAGCATCTCATTTTCCAATACATCATACAAACAATTTTATACCTTGCTATTTTGACTTAACCTTACTTCGTACCTTTTGTCAGGTTAAGTCTTCAAGAGCATAACACTTGCATATTAGGATTTTTCTCTTATACCACCTAAAATGGTAGCCTCCCAATGACTATTAAAATTGGCTTATATATGTAGTGATTGCTTTGTCTTTCAGCAGGAAAAGGTATCCCTACTGAGTCTTTTGGACAATCAGTTCATCTATTATGTATTAAGAAAAAGTTCAGGGAAAGATCTGGAGTCCAAGGGCTACCTTGGCCTTCAGGGCAGCCTCCATTCCTAAACTCAGACCTGAATAGACAATATGTAGTGGCCAATCCCCAACTCTTCCCTTAGGCCTGGAGGAACTCGGAATCACAATTCAGACTTTTGAACAAAGAAAATATAACTATAACTAATTACCATGCAGTTCAATTATAATCACAAATGTTTTTATGAAGCATTGGTACCTTACCAATTACAAACAGACAAAATGATGCCCAATGCTCCTTCTTCTGACCTTCAAGGGGATTAGAAAAATCAACATTTTCCTAAATGTACAATGACATAATCTATGGAACATGAGGTTGAAAGCATGAATAAAACTAAAGTTAAACAGGACTATATTTGCTTGAATTTTACCCCAATGTGCAAATGCACATACCACTCCTCTAACAATGCTTAATTCTAGTAGCAGGGACTAAATTGCTGGGAAACACGTTGAGATTTGAGCAAAAGTATCAGAACTCAGACACAATCAGAAAAACTGACAAAATGCCAAAACACCATAAAAATTCAGATGTTTCCATCACACATTCAAAAGTTTCCTTAACAGAAACTGAAATTATTAAGCAATAATAAGGAAACAAAATGCAGAACATACTTAAAAAGAAAAAAATTACCTCAATTGGGTTAAATTTAACGCTACTTATACTGTCAAATCCCCAGGTCATTGAACATATAGGATTAGTTCTTTGTTCATCCCAAATGTCTACTTGCTGTCCACATGTGGCAAAAACAGCTTCTTTCCAGTGATGATCAATGCCAGTATACACTGTCTTTAAAGCAAAAAGGTTGTTATGAAGAGGTTTTTTTCATTACGAATTCAAATCTGCAGAAAAGTATTTCAAATATATTTATCCACACTATCATTTTTTTGAGAAAAACCCTGTTCACAAAGAAACTTCTTTGAAATCTTTACTTACAGGGGGAAACAACACCATAAAGAGACAAGACATTTTAAGAATGAAACCAATTTGTTTTAGAAATTACCAACATGTTTCCAACTACAAATTATCTCTACCTCATACTAATACCCCATTCCCCATCCCTTTAAGAACATGTAGAACTTCTTGAAACCTAAAGAACCTAAATATTATATACTAACCATAATATTGAAATGACAAAGTGATTTTTAAAATGCATATTTAATTTAAAGATTAAATCTAATTTTGGAATTGTCTGCTTAATATAAAAATGTAAACATTATAAAACATGGATAGGCCAAATGTTCTAAATTATACTTAAGCTAAAACTAAACTACATCATCTGATTTGCAGAATAATTTGGTAGAAATGTTAATAAGATTTATACATGATGCATTATACTATTACATTTCTTCATTTCCTAAAGGATTTTTTAAACTAATAAATTCTGAGTTTTGTGTTAGTTCTATGATGACATAAACCAGACAAGCTGAAGCATTTTCTGAACTTCTATCTTTTCCGCTATGGTCTTGCTATAGGAAATATTTCATTGTATTCTCTAGCTAAAAACAGAAATCAAGCTCTACTACAATGAATACCAAAAAAACTGTTAAAATTCTTTAGCACTGAAGGACCTTAACTGCATTAAATATTGCTTAAATGGGTCAATGGAGTCAACGATTACAGCCTAAAGTCTTTCTTACTTGCGTCTTCTTCCTCCTTTGAAAATTTTAACTATAAAATAATTTTAAATAAAAGAGAAGAATTTTAATAGGCAAGGTATTAGTCAGTTTACTTTTGTACCTTTCCTAATATTGTATGTAATGGCTCTTCCTCCTCTCCATAGCCTGGCCCATCCATTTTCCACTGCTTCACAGTTTTGTCATCACCAACCTAGAAATATTTGTTTTATTATGATGACAATAATGAACAGTTATAAATTAAAACTTGCCAAGACATATATCAAATTATCAGTATCTTGCTTAAAAAAGGTAACATACCGTATCATTCCAGTATTATACTTACTGATGCATTTATATCCCACTTTGTTTTAGTAAAGATTTGTGATAAATATATAAAGTATATAAAATTAAAAACAGTATAAGTAGAGCAAAAGAACCAAACAGGAACAAGAGTCAAGAACAAGTTAGGTCATGCATATTGTGATAAACATGGCATTTCAACTTAGAGAAAATATGGATTATAAAAAATGGTACTGTCATATCGGGTTGGTCATTTAAAAAGTTTAAGCCAATTTGATGCCTTACATGAAAATTCCAGATAGTTTTAAATGTAAAAAACAAAATGAAAAACACGAAAATACTAGAGAGAAGGCATTGTTACAATATTGAAATAGATAAAGCCCTTTTCTGCATGAACTGCAGAAACTACTAAGTCACTGGTTTTCAAACTGTGAACTTTGGGCCTCTGGAGGACCCTTAGAACTTTTCAGGGTCCACGTGGTCAAAACTATTTTCATTAATGTTAGTAAAGACATAGTTAGTCTTTTCACTGTGCTAACAGCTGCACAAATAGTAAAAAGCAACAGTGAGCAGAACTGTTGGCATGTTAGCCCAAATCAAGGCAAAGCAACAAACTAGGGTAATTTAGACATGGGTATTTGGGAGACATGTTTAAGCTATCAGATGAAAAAGACAACAAAACAACATATAATGTGGTCCGAGGTTGAAAACAAAGTCACCTATCTGGTACTGTACAACTACATATATGCCAAACTGCTAGTTTTAACTGAAAAGTTAACATTTATATATTAGATGTAATCTAGATCCACTTTTTGATAAAAAAACATTAACAAAGGTATATTTATCTATGGGAAGAGTATGAATATAGTTCTTTTCTTACAGCAAATTAAAAAAGGAAAACACTTCCTGCAAAACACTTTACAGTGCCCATGAGATGAGAACAGATAAGCGATCAGGAAAGGTTTTGCTATAAGATTAGATGGGGATGTCTTTTGTTGAGGATGCCAATGAACAAAATCCTTAACAACATCCTTATAATAGACAAAAAGTATTTAATAGGGCTACATCTTATTAACAATTCTGAATTTGAGCCACTGGCACTATATCAAAACTCAGTTCCAGAAACCTGATTATATTGGGAGAATGTAAGATATAATCTAGGTACCCAGATTTTGACTGATCTGGCTTGACCCAAAGAGATATTTTAGCAAGTATATAATACAGGATAAAACTGTGTCTCTGCGCATCCGATTCCTGAAGACAGCATCCCTCCATCAAGTTTCTGACAGTGTCTGCAAGCTCAAGACTGAACTTCCTTGTAAATGACCAAGCTGCTCTACAGTCTATTGAGAACCAACCTCAACAGACCACCGATTCTGAGAAAGGTGTTCTCATTTTATAGAAATGAGTAGCCAAACAAGAATAAATGACTGGCTAGAACATCTCATCTCCAGGCTGGTTAAGCTGAAGAAGGCACTGTTGGTATTACAAACTGTGATATCTTAGTGACGTTTACATAATAAAAGTTTATCTTTTACAACACAATGTACTAAATTTTTTAAAAACATTAAGTGTTAAAGTTGAACAAGTAGTTTTCAAATGTGTCTTACCTCTGACAAAGCACACATTACCCAAACATATTTTTTCATAAAAAGGGAGAAACAATGAGCTGGGCATGGTGACTCATGCCTGTAATCCCAACACTTTGGGAGGCTGAGACAGGCTTGAGCCCAGGAGTTCGACACCAGCCTGGGCAACATAGCAAGACTATGCCTCTTTAAAAAAATACTATAAAGTGGGGAAAACAAGTGGTGAACATGAAACATTTCCAGTCTTTACCATTTCTTAAAATGTTAATGTTTTAAATTTACAAATAAAAGTTATATATATTTGTGATGTACAACATTGTGTTGTGACATATGTAGACACTGTGGAATGACTAAATCAAACTAACATCTCTATTACCTCACATACTTATTATTTTGAACATTTAATCTACTCTCTTAGCAACTGTCAAGAAGACAGCATATTGTTATTAACTATAATCACCGTGTTGTACAATAATCATCCCATCTATTGAAATTTTGTCTCTTGTGACCAACATCTCCCCAATCTCTCTCCCTCAAAGCAACTAGTAATGACCGTTTTACTCCATTTCTATGAGTTTGGCTTTTTTAGATTCCACACAAGTGAGATCATGTGGTATTTATCTTTGTGTGCCTAGCTTATTTAGCATCATGTCCTCCAGGTTCATTCACGGATGCTGCAAGTGACAGGATTTCCTTCTTTCTGTAGGCTGAATAGTATTCATGTGTGTGCGTGTGTGTGTGTGCTTTTTAAAAAATTCATTCATCCATCGCTGAACACTTTAGGTTGATACCATATCTTGGATATTGTGAATAATGCTGCAATGAGCCTTTATTAATTTTGAGCATTTAAAAAAAAGCACTAAATTCTCTGGCTAAAATATTAATCAATATATCCAAAAGAATAACCAAGTAGAAGAAGCCTTAGCTGCCATCCACTACCACTTGCCACCTAATTCCTTGCACAACACTGGGCTTGCAAGGTCAGGTACCTTATCTGCACCCCTGTGGTGAAAAGTAAATGAATGTTTTGCAAGGTAGCCTAGTCTGGTTTTTGACAGCAAACAAGTTTTTCTCATACCAAAACCAAATCTTTTAACATTAACACCTATTTCCAGTGCTTCTCTGTGGAGCAACAAATTAGTCTATTTTCTTTTTCACATGACAATCTTTCAAACTGTAGCTATCAGGTTTCCCAGAAATCTTCTTTTCCCTTATTATTCTCTTGCAATCTGGCTTTTGCACCCAGCTAACCTGTATTGAAACCTACACTTTATAACTCGGCTCAACCTGTTTTTTAAAATGTCAGCAGTGAACAAAGAATAAGGAAGATCTATTTGACTGATTAGTACATACATACAAAAACTGTTGTATAGCTAGGTCAAAACACTTGAAAAGACCTACACCAAACTAACAGTGTTAGAAGTGAAAGACTAGAATTACATATCTTTAACTTCCTAGTTTTCACATCTCTACATTACTAAAATGTTTTTCTCAGTCTTCATGTTTCATTATTCTTTGTAGTAGTTCACACAACTGACTATTCCTTCCTCCTGGAACACTATGCTTATTCACAGACTCTTTGAGCTCTCTGGCTACTCCCAGAGTTTTCCCACTTCCCAGAGGTAGGCAATTCCCAAGGTTACTTCCCTGACATCTTTGTATTTCTATATTTTCCTCTTCATTTTCTCCCAACGATGCCTTACTATGGCTTCAACCATTACTTCTATAATGATGATGCCAAGTTTAGCTCTGACCTCCCTCCTAAGCTCCAGACCTGCATCTGTAAAGGTATGATAGACAACTGCATTTGAACAGCCCAGCAGCAGTCAGTTTGTCACATCATATCCTTCCCATTCCCACCCTCTTCCAAACCTGCTGATACTCCTGACTTTCCCATTTCTGTAACAGCAACTACTATCTTCCCAGGTACCTCTCAGTTGTCAAATCTGTCAATCCTCCAAAGTGTTTCTAAATCCAACCACTGTTTTCTAGTTTCAGTCTCCATAATAAGGTAAGCTCTTATTATTGCCTACCAAACTATTAAAACGGCCTTCAAACTGATCACTCACTGCTGTCAAATTGAATCAACCCAAAGCACAGCTCATATTTTGTTGTTCCCTTGTTAAAAAAAAAAAAAAAAAACGTTGAATGACCTTAAATTATTATCTGTACACCAATGGTCATGACAACACTATTCACAATAGCTAAAAGGTGGAAACAAATCAAATGCCCATTGATGAATGAACAGATAAACAAAATGTGACATATACAATAGAATGCTATTTAGCCATAAAAAGGAAATTCTGACACGTACTACAACATGGATAAACTCTGAAGACAATTATGTTAAGTAAAATAAGCCAGACATGAAAGGTTTTTTTCCAAAAAAAATTTTTAAAGGCTTATTTCACATACACAAAGTATCATTCTTTATAATAGGATTGTATTTACATAAGGTATCCAGAATAGTCACAATCACAGAAGCAAAAAGTAAAATCATGGTTACCAGGGGCTGGGGACTGAGGGGAATGAGGAGTTACTGTTTAATGACTACAGTTGCAGCTGCAGAAGATGAAAAAGTTCTGAAGATGAATGGTGGTGATGGTTGCACAATGATATGAATGTACTAGATGCCACCAAACTGTATATTTAAAAACAGATAGTAAATTTTATGTTCTGTATACGTTGCCACACGTAGGCACAAAACTTCAATGATTCCTTACTATGTGACTAATGGAAGCACAAATTACTCATCTTAGCACCAAAAATCCTCCAGAGTAAGTCAAAATCTTTCTAGACTCACCTCCCATTAATTCCACTTCTGTGGTCAATGGAATATTAGTTTATAATGTTAAGCAATTATTTATAAAAAGTATGGGGATGGCTGAATTATGTAAAGAAAAATAGTAATTTTCAAGGTTTTCGTAAGATATTTTGCATTGTGAAACTCCAAAAGGGCCGAGGAACAAATAAACTTGAAAAATGTATTCAATTAGATGATTCTCATATACGTTGATCAAATTTAATCACCTAATGGTATTATACTTACAGTGAAAAAAGAAGTCCCACAAAAGCGAGTACATATTCCTCGTACAAAGCCTTCATGTGCTTGTATTGTACGGATACATTTCCGTTGAGTCAGGTTCCAAATTCTAACCTATGATAAAGCATATCAGGAAATTTCAGTAAACTATAAACGTAAAATGTTCAGGATAAATTCAACATTGAAAAGGCTACAAATCTTTCTACTGGGCAGCTTAAACCAAAATCCTTTGGATTAAAACAATGCAATGCATATGGATAAGGGTATCAACAAGCAGAAAATACAACCCTGGCAAATACTGTTGATTCTAGTTTAAAGTGTTGCAAAGCTTTTTCGCTTGTCATAGTAAGAAATTAGGTGTTGACAACATCTTCTGTGAAAAAACTAATAAATACTTTAATTATAAACATGATTATTTAATTTACTGTCAAACTGATCCTTAAACTACTGCATTTATAATTTCTTAGATTTAAAGAAGAAAATACTAAACTTAGTATTTCTAGCAAAATTTAGTCTTGAGAAGTAAATTGAAATCCAATAAAGTAAAACCTACTGTAACTAAAAAGTAAAGGAAAAACATCTGAAATGTAAGTACTTTTGGTTGAAAATATCAACATTTAGAGTGAGACTTGCCTCTCCATCACATGCCCCAGAAAGGACAGTAGCCAGGTTCTTTGGATGCTTTGCCAAGCAATTGACTCCATCTCGGTGACCATCCAGCGAAGCAAGGAATGGTTTTGCAAATACCCGTTCCAGTTTGGTAGCATTTAAAGCTCTTACATATTCTCGCGGGACCTCAAAAGGATGTAAGGCAGGATCATAGTTTCTTGGAACTGAAATAAGAGCGATTCCTCATAAAATAATTCAAACTTAATATTTCCTGCAGTCTTCCTCAGCTAATCACTCTATTTGTTATTCAATAAGCATGAAGTTAGTGACATTGTTCTATGCCTAGCACTATGAATACAAAAGTAGAAGACCTGTTTTCCAGAAATCTTTCTGAAATTACTGGAAAATCAAGGGATGCATACATCTTGCAAAACAATTAGACCACATATATATGCACATGCAGCCTTTCCCTCTCATATGTCCTAGTATGCTCTTCAACTGGGTTCTAAGTGTTCACTGTCAGGGTTTCCAATATATTTTTGTTTTCTATTTCCTTATGCCTAGCACAGGTCCTGGCACAAAACATGTGCATGATGTTTGCTCCACAGAACTCGAAGCTTCCTGTGGGGCAGGGAACATTATTAATCTCTGGTGCTAAATTCTGTACTGATAGGCACAGGAGGTTGTGATTATCATACTATTATATAGCTATATCATACTATTATATACTATTATTTACTGAACACTTTTTCTGTTTGTTTACTTAAAAAAGACTCACATAAGAGTTCACCAGGTGTCAGGCACGGTTCCAAAAACCTTAATCGTTTGATCTCCACAGCATTCTATGTGTTAAGTTATATTACTATCTCATACTTTATTGATGGGAAAACTGAGGTATAAAGAGGTTAAGTAACTTGGATATGACATTACAGAGCCAGGATTCAAACCAAGGCAGTATGGCTCCAGAATCTATGTTTTAACTGTCCTGATACGCTGCTAAACACATTGTCTCAGTTAATAATTATGCTTAGAAAGTAACTTTAAGCTTGTATGTCTAAAAAACTCACTGTGTAAAAAGTAAATGCATCTTCTTACCTCATGACTTCACCTTGCTGTTTCTTTCTGACTCCCTGGTAATGGTATTATATCTAACATTCAACAAAGCTCTGACCTAGGCCATTCTTATGTATTCCATCTTCCATATTCCCTACTACCAAAACTCAAAGTCCCACTCATCCTCTTTCAAACACTTATTCATCTTTCCCTTTAACTCTCTATTTCTAGTAACTTAGTGTTTTTTGTTTGTTTTTTTTTTTGAAATGGGGTATCACTCTGTCACCCAAGCTGGACTGCAGTGGTGTGACCACAGCTTACTGCAGCCTCAACCTCCAGGGTTGAAGTGATCCTCCTAACTTAGCCTCTCACCTCAGCCTCCAAGTAGCTTGGGCCTCAGGCATGCAGCACCATGCCCCATTAATCTTCACATTTTTTGCAGAGATGGGGTCTCCTTATGATGCCCATGTTTGTCTTAAACTCCTGGACTCAAGTGATCCTCCCATCTTTGCCTCCCAAAGTGTTGGGTTTATGAGCATGAGCCACTGCATCCCCAGCCAGTTTGGGTCTTTATTACATCATACTTAGGCTACTGTAATATCTTCCCTACTGGAGTTGGTGGCAGTTTACACTATTATCAGTCATCTTAAAACAGCTTTTTACATGTCACTCACATGCCTAAAACTTTCAAAGACTCCCTGTATAGTAGTCTTCAAGCTTTCTGTGTGTCCCATTGGTAACAGAGTTTATGAGCATATCCCTTCTCCTCAACATATGTGCATATTAATGAGGGCGTGTAATTAAAGATGTTCTTTTTTTAAGAAAAATCTTGATTTAACACTGTGACAGATTTAAAGGTTTTAATTTCAGCTTAATTCAATGTTTGGCTTTAATGGCTACTATTATAAAAAAGAATCAGGCAGTACTCACTTTCACAAAGTACTGTGTTAACAGGATGACATGAATACTGGAACCAATTCCTCACTTTGCAAAGTTTTGTGGTTAACAGACGTGACTTCAATCACTGTAAACCTCTCATAGAATGGGATTGGTTCAGTTAATATGGTACTATGCAAAGTGTAGAATGCCTGTACTTCACAAGGACAAGCATACCCAAAATGATAATGTCCACAGCTGGCTGTATTTATTTAATATATTTAATTTTCAGTCTCATCCATTAGTAATGCAAAGGTTATTTTTGAAATTTAAGTCTACAAAATTTCCATCTATTCTGATGTCAGCAGCTATTCCTACAACTAAATTTAGCATTTTAATAATTTTAACCAAAGTTTAGTAACTCCAACAAGATAGAACATTTTGTTTCTAAATCTCTTCATGTGGTCAAAAATGAATCTTTTTTTTGAGTCGCAGTCTTGCACTGTCACCCGGACTGGTGTGCAATGGCACAATCTCGGCTCACTGCAACCTCCACCCACCAGGTTCAAGCGATTCTTTTGCCTCAGCTTCCCAAGTAGCTGGGATTACAGGAACCCACCACCATGCCCGGCTAATTTTTTGTGTTTGTAGTAGAAATGGGGTTTCACTATCTTAGCCAGACTGGTCTCGAACTCCTGATCTCATGATCTACCCACCCTGGCCTCCCAAAGTGCTGGGATTACAGGTGTGAGCCACTACACCCAGCCAAAAATGAATCTTTATGGATGAGAAACTGACATTTATAAAGCAACTATTATGTTCCAGGTGCTGTCTAAAAACAGTTCATACGTAAACATGATTCTTCCCCGTTTTGTAAGTGAATTCTGATGGGAAAGCCTATTAATCAAAATAATCATCATGAGACAATGTGATAAACACTGTGAAGTGATAGAATCATAGAAGACCGCTGCTGAAGGGAGCTGAGCACATGCAGGAGTTAAGTATGAAAAGATTGTTCAGTCAAAGTTTTCCAGAGAAAGCAGCTAAACTGGATAAGGGTGTGCGCCACAGGAAGCCTTAAAAAAGGCAACTGAAATGCACTGAGATTGGCAAGGGTGAATACTAAACCACTTGTGGGAAACATAGTGACTGACGAAAGTGGCAAGGAAGGTGGGACCAGAGATTGAACGATTGGGAATAATGCCAATTCCAAGTGATAAATCTAATTTATATTTTAGAAACATTACTGCCTTATGACAAACTGTAAACATCTTGTGAGCAGAGACCTCTTAGCAATGTTGACATGCATGTTGATAGTATCTACTGTTCAACCAAAATAGTGAAATACTGTTCTCACCTCATCTCATCTTGCTTACTCCTAGTTAAAACTCTAATGACAACATCCTTCTTTCCATGCCTTAGGTTCATTCCTGCCTGAAGACCTTTGCTCCTGTTATTCTCTTTTCTAGAACAATCTGCTCATGCACGGTTAGTCCCTTGTCATTTAGGTATTACGAGACACAATTAATAAGTGGTTAGCATATTATAAGTGGGGGAAGAGACCAGTAAGGATAAATAAAACTCATTAATTCCACTTTAACCATTCTTTCATCAAACTTCATAAGGGATGGTAAGAGAAAACTGACGCTTTTAAATTTAACTTCGTCTCTTCCAATATCCAGAATATGAGCAGTAGGGAGGTTTTAAAATGCTGTTTAATTCTTAATCCTTCAACCCGTAAGTTTGACTCATTCAAGTCCACTTTTCAATAATAGGAACCTAAAGACAATCCTAGAGCAGCAGCTGGAATCTTTCTCCACTGCAGACAACTATTTCCCACTCACCACTAGAGGAAATTCTTAGAAAAAGGACTTGCACAGATTTTACTTGCTATCCAGTTCCGCATCGACCCCGTAAGCACAAAGTTTGCCTTAGCGAAAACGGAACTGGGAAAGAACCAGGCTGGAGCGCCAGCCTCCCCCGGCTTTACTCCGTGCGAGCCGAGGCTAGACACAAAGACTCGCGGAAAGCCTTCCTTTCTGGCTACCAACTTATCTTACCTCTCTGTAAGTCAAACTTGGTTTCGCGGACATAATTGTCCGGATTGCGACTCAACATCTTCACCTTCATCTTGGTTGCTCTTCCGGCCGAACTCCACGAGGGATTCCATATGAGTGCCGCCCCCCGCCGCCTCCTCCCACATGCGACTTCCGCTTTTCCCAGACTACTTCCAGTCACGTGACTCGAGGACTGGACGCTGGCTGGCTTAGCTGGATCCTGCGACGCTCCGTAGTTTTGCCGTCCTGCGCTAGCAGGGGGCGGTTCTTTAGCTGTGCGGTCTCTTCCGCGTCCGAGGGCTGGAGCATTTGTGGGCGGGACAGGGCGGAGACTCGGCGGAGGCTGGCACCTCCCCTCCGACGCTACTTCCGCCGGCGTGACCTGGTGGCTGCGCCCCACTCACGCCCACTCAGTACCAGACTCTCGCGGCTTGGCTCCCGCGCCGTGGGCGCCAGAGTCCTCTCGCCGATCCCGGAGGTGGGCTTGCCCTCACAAGGGGCGACCGCCGCCACGGTGGCGGCCACAGCATCTCGTCCCACCTCCGCGGCCCTGGGCGCCGTGGTATCGGCTGGCCCCGAGCCTATGACGGGCCAGGGCCAGTCGGCCTCCGGGTCGTCGGCATGGAACACGGTATTCCGCCACGTCCGGTATGAAAACCTAGTAGCGGGCGTGAGCGGTGGCGTGTTGTCCAACCTTGCGCTGCATCCGCTCGACCTCGTGAAGATTCGCTTCGCCGGTAAGAGCCCACCCAGACACCGGGCTGCTTCGTGTCACTGTCAGCCTGAACTGAGTCGTAAAAATTCAAAAAGAGGCCTTGGTCTCCTCTGCCTTTTCCGTACTAGGGAGAAAGAGGAGCGTTGAAGGGGATGCTGTCCGCCCTGGCTCACCTGAACTAGATTTGAGGAAATGGTGCTTTGTAGAGGGGTCGGTGTGCGATCTTCCCTCCCTCCTCAAGACTAAGGGATGGGGCCTGTATGTAGAGAAGTATGAGAAAAAAACATCCTCATTGGCAGGGAAGATGGGATGCAATTCCTGATTTATAAAATAAAGAAGGGATTGTCACATTTTAGTGTTTATTCCTCACACGTGCAAATCATTCGCTCTTGGAGGAACTTTGAAATCTTAGCATAGCCACGTGGTTTGGCAGCTCGACCAGTGTTGGGATAGGGCGTAATCTTCAGCTAATGTTGGGAGTAGATTTGGAATAGAGTTCTCTTGAATGTTTGTTTTTTGTCGTTTATAGAATGGTACAAGGTCCTGTGAAAGAATAGTTAGCTAGACTCGAAATACTATTTTAAGTGTATTAGATGAATTGATTATTTGAAATTAACAAAGCATTTTAGAAGTTAAACTCTATTCTAAAGTCTGGAAAGAGTTTCAAAGATGATCTTTGATAACTGAAATTGCAGAAATTAATTTTCAAATTAAGCTATTACAAGTTGTGCCTTGAGAATTAAATCTACAGTTGTTTATCCTAGCATTAGGTAATTCATTTCACTTGCTGTATATTCTCTTAATATGTGTATACTGCTGTATGGGCTACAGAAGTATCTAATAAAGTTCTTGTCTTCAGGGAACTTAGAATTTAATTGTAGACGTTAGACTTAGATAAAAGGTAATTCTAGACGACATAAAATCAGGAAATACAAATACGAAATATAAATACAGGTAAACCGTCAAGAAAATTCTACATTGCTGATGGTCATATGTATCTTTAAAGGTTCAATGGAAGATTGGGGCTTGGGGTTTCCCATAGAAAGGCTAATATTTTGACAGGTGGAGAGGAGGCAAAAAGCCAATCTGTGAAGAAAAATCATCGAGAATTATGGAGTATTATCTCTAGAAAAAACATCACAAAGGCATATAATTTTATGAAGTTTTATGATGCATGCACAAATAATTATTGACAGGTAATCTTTATTTACTAGGAGCAAGGCAATGAACTATGTTTTAGATGTATTATCTCATTTATTATTCCTGTAAATCTATTCATAGGAACAGTCCTGTGAGTTTATGATCCCTGCTATACAGATGAGGATAACAGAAGTTGACTAATTTGCCCAAGTCACAAGTTTGTAAAGATGGATCTGGGATTTAAACCCAGGTAATCTAACTGTGGAACCCCCTGGCATTTAACTCCTCACCATCCTGCCTCTTTAAGCCCCTGTTATGCAATAGTGTGAACATCAGAAGAATTTTAGACTTGGCTGCAGGTGCAGACCTGTATGACTTGGTGTCTCTCTTCAGCAGCACTTTAGGAACAGGAGAGGTGATAGTCGAGGTGATCATTGAAGAATAGTGTGATTGGTCTGATGAGTTTTAAGACAGTGCTGTGAAGCATAGCATTCCTGAGGAAACAGAATTCTTATTACCTGAGAAGATTAGTAGTCTTGATGAATTGGAAAGAGTATTGGGAGCCTAGTGGGGCGGAGGTGACAGATAAAAGGATTGAGTTTGGATTGGAGGCCTAAATTAAAGATCTAGGCATTGAAGCAGGAGTTTGTATAATAAAGCTCACAGTGTAGCTGTGAAATGGTGATAGAAAGGAGGAAAATTTAGGAAGATGAATAACAGAAATAAAAATTTATTGATTATCAGCATCAATGCTGAATAACTTACTATAGTTCTTATGCTTCCATTGTAATTAAACTCATTTAATAAAATTAAAATCTAATGATGACAGGATCTGAATGCATGTGCTATTAAACCAAACCTGGAATTTTTCTGTGAGTTCAAGTACAAATTGGAACTCAGAGGTGTCCAGAGTGGTAGAAAGATTAGAAATTAATTCATATGAAAAATAACTGGAGGAACTAGTTTAGCTCAGGAGAGAAAAAAACCTCAAGATATTTAGAGAACTTCCGTGGGGGAAAGGGGGCTACCTTATTGTGGGTTGATCCTAAGGTCAGACACAGGTTGAGTGGAAATTACAGGGAAGCAGATTTTGGTTTGGCAGTGTGGCAGTGCTCAGAAATGAAATTGATGATTAGAAGTGGCTGAGATAACAGTTGGATGACAGAAGTGAGAAGATACTCTTGTATTAGGTGGAAAGATTGGATTAGATGACTATTCAGACTCCTTCTAGCTTTACGATGTAATGTTAAACCCTCAAGAATGATGAGAGAGCCCCAACAAAAGAATGAGAATGAGATATAGTAATTTTCTAAGTAACCCAAAAACCTGATCGTTTGCAAGTTAAAGATATGTGTGAGCTTTTGTGAAGAACGTGGAGAGTATGACTACACCCAAAACATTAAGAAATCAAAATGTAAAATTCAGTAACAGTAGTGCAGAGTAAAGTTTTATATGTATGTGGTATTGCAAGACCCAGTGGCATAGCAAGACCCAGTGGCATAAATAAACTGGTACTTATTGAGTGCTTGCAATATGTCAGGCATAATTCTAAGAGCTTTATATGAACTAACTCATTTAATCCTTTGTAATTTTTAGAGTTAGATTCTATTATTTTTCCTATCTTACGTAAAAATTCAGGCACAGAGTAATCCAGTGACTTACTCAAGATTGCAAAGTAATTGCTAGAACTAGGATTCAAGCTCAGAAAGTCTTTTTCCATAACATATGCTGTTAGTTTGAAACCATGAGTGGGTAGTTTTGTATAGCTAAAGGGTAAATTAAAATGGTAGAGATGAAAATAAAGAATGATTCCAGAAAGTTAAGAAGCTGCCAGATTGACATGTCTTTTATGAAAAGTGGAAACTGGCAATAGGATCAGAACCCTTAGTAGGGCAGGATGTTAGGAATAAGATCCGGACTAGTAGCACTGGGGTAGTAGGTGAAGCCACCCAGCTGAGAGACCACCTCTATTTGATGGAAATTGTGCATATAAAATCAGCATTTAAGGATGGGAAGAGAAGAAGGAGTGAAGGAAATTTAGTGGCAAAGAAGCAAGAGGACATTGAAGATGGTGCGGTGTTAAATGAGCCAGAAGAGAGGGCTTTAGGAGTTAAACAATTTAAGGTGCTGCTAAGGGTTCCTAAGAAAGAGAGGACTCCAAAATGCCTTTGAAGGTTCTTAATTAGAGTGCTTGAAGTAATTGGTAAAGCTCAAACCAGATTGCCTAGGAGGTGAGAGAGTTCCTGCTGAGATTCGAGTGGGGCAGGGAGGGACATGTTTTCTCATTGCAGACACTTAACTGATAAGGAGGCACTGGGATCAAAGAGTAAATACTTAGGAGAGATTTAAGCCTGTTTAAATACTAATGGGAAAGAACTTAAAGCAAGGAAGAGATTGGGAAATGGAGGCCAGAGGATAAGGATAAGGTATCTAACTAAGGGGTGTTGTCTGAAGGCACAGTATCTAGAACAAGCTTTTTTTTTTTTTTTTTTTTGAGACGGAGTTTCACTCATGTTACCCAGGATGGAGTGCAATGGCGCGATCTTGGCTCACCGCAACCTCCGCCTCCTGGGTTCAGGCAATTCTCCTGCCTCAGCCTCCTGAGTAGCTGGGATTACAGGCACGCGCCACCATGCCCAGCTAATTTTTTGTATTTTTGGTAGAGACGGGGTTTCACCATGTTGACCAGGATGGTCTCGATCTCTTGACCTCATGATCCACCCGCCTCGGCCTCCCAAAGTGCTGGGATTACAGGCTTGAGCCACCGCGCCCGGCCTTTAGAACAAGCTTTTTTGACCAGAAATAAATTTCACCTTTGCTATGCAGTGCATACACATACATACACAAACATTACTGAAACACACGTTTCATTAAACAATATTTATCCTAACTACTTGTGATGTCATTTATATTTGTTTTCTATTCCAGTCTAGTTTTGAAGAAAAGATACTAGCAATCTGCTCAATTGGTTTCTTGATTCATCTGGAATTTTAAAAACACCAATATAGTGCACAGGTAGAGGGGATTATTTTTATTAAGAGAGACAAAGGAAAGTTAAAACTAATATCCAGGAAATGAAACAGGTTGTGTTAGGGTGATGGTGCTAGATGGCAATTTTTTAAGTCATTATACTGTCTTTCTTAGAAGATAAATTAAAATGAGTGTCCTGTCTTGGCTCCTTTCTGTATACCAAACTTTTTATCTTCAGCTTGTGTCTATTGGCAATTTTTAGTGCTATGGTAAGCCATTGTCAATTATTTGATAGATGATTAGATCTACACACTAATTGGTTAGCGGCAAATATTTTTAAAACAATCATGAAGTCATTTAGGCCAGTGGTCCCCAACCTTTTTGGCTCCAGATTGGTTTCATGGAAGACAATTTTTGGCTCCATTGGTTTCATGGAAGACAATTTTTCCATGGATGGGAGTAGAGGAGGTATGGTTGATTTCACGATGAAACTGTTCCTCCTCAGATCATCAGGCAATAGATTCTCTTAAGGAGCATGCAGCCTAGATCCGTTGCATGTGCAGTTCACAGTAGGGTTTGTGATTATGTAAGAATCTAATGCCACCACTGATCTGACAGGAGGCAGAGCTCCAGTAATACAAGCGAATGGGGAGCAGCCGTTAAGTACAGATGAAGCTTTGCCCACGCTCCACTTACCTGCTGTGTGGCCCAGTTCCTAAC